AGAGACCGAATTTCCCCAGCTTTCCATGTCAGAAGTCCGACACGCCGGGCACCCTTGTGATGAATCACCAAGGGGGCGGCAGATCGAAGATGCCTATGGCGAATCACTGCTGCCCCCTGCCTTTCAGGATACGCCTATGAGGCCAACAATTTGGGTAAAGTTTGGCCACGCTGTTGGGCCATGCGTTCGCCCAGCCAGTGTGGAACCCCTTCGGAGAACATGTGGGGGAGGAAGATGAGAATGAGAAGAGGGAAGAGAAAGGATGAGGAGATGGATGAGGAGACCTCGTGGGAGCTTCTTGGGTCATTCTTGGGGCCTCCTGGGAGCCTCCTGGGGGGCCTCTTAGAGGCATCTTGGAGGCCTCCTTGGGCTTCTTGGGGGCCTTTCAGGGCTTCTTGGGGACCTCTTTGGCAGTCTTACCGCGTTCCTGGCCCGACGGAAGCCGTCTTGGGAGCCTCTGTGGGCCGTCTTGGGGCCCTCTTGGGGCGCTTCAGGGTCGTCTTGACGGTTATGTTGGGCGTCTTGGAGGCCTCATGGGCAGTCTTGGGGCCCGTTGGGGGCCGTTTTGGAAACCTCTTGGGCCGTCCTGGGGCTATCTCTGGGGCCTCTTGGGCGCTCTTGGGGCGATCTTGATGGCCTCCTGAGTCTTTGGCCGTCGGAAGCCCGAAACGGAGCAAAAGTCAAAATCCCACAGAGACCTGGGGAAAACAATGATTTTAGCATCTTCGGGCCTTCCTGGAGATCCTCTTGGAGGCCTCTTGGACCGTCTTGGAGGCCTCTTGGAACCTTCTTGGACCGTCTTGGGCTGTCGTGAGGTCATCTTAGACCGTCTTGGGTGCAGCTTGGGCCGTGTTGAAGACATCTAGGCGCCATATTTGGCTCTCGTGGGGCCATTTTGGCAGTCTTGGGACTGTCTTGGAGGCCATCTTGGCCGTCTTGGACGCCATCCAGGAGCCGAAAACCGACAGGAGGTGCGTTTTCTGGGTGGCGAGCAGGCTAGGCCGAAGCCTCACGGAGAGTTCTTTAGCAAGGTAGCAGAAAATAGCAGATATGTGGCACGCCGTGCACCCTTGTGAAGACCACAGGGGGTGGCGGATCGAGTGGCCTTCGGCCCATCCCGCCGCCGCGCTTGGGTTGTAGGTCAGAGGCCCCTTGGGTGCCTGTGGGGAGGCGATGTCTTGAGGCCTCTCGAGGGCCCTCTGGAAGCCTCATGGGGCTTCTTTAGGTCCTCTTGGGGCTCCTTGAGGGCCTCTTGGGGGCCTGCTCGCGGTCTCTAAGTTATCTTGGAGCGAAGGGCTTAAAATGTAAGGTCGAGTTCCATCTCTTTGGCCCCTCTTGGGGCCTTCTTGAGTCACATGTGGGATCTCTTGGAACGTATTGAGGCCCTCTTGCTCCGTTGTGGGGGCCTGTTGGGCCGTTTTGGAACATCGGGAGCCCGAAAAGGCGAGAACTCTGTCAACAACCAAAGCAAGACCACTGATTGTTGCCTCTTGTGGCCCACTTTGGGGGCACCTTGCAGCCATCTTGAAGTGTCGTAGGGCTCGCTTGGGCCGTCTTTCAGGCCATATTTGGCATCTCGGGGTACTCTTGGGCCGTCCTGGGGCCCTCTTGCACAATCTTGGAAGTTTATTATGACCATCTTAGCACGTCTTGGGGCCCCCTGGCCTCCGGACAACTCACACGGGAACACGCGCCAAGCCCCGAGAGCACCCGAGAGCGCCCAGATCTCCAGGCTGTGGGCCTCCCAAAGAGCATTACAATATTCAATGCAGAGGGCCCGAAGAAGACCTGAGGACACTCCACCTCGTGTCTCGGGGTACGCAGGCGGATTGTGAGCCGAGTAGATGTTTAAACGAGTTGCGGGTGTTTCTGGAATGTCCCAGCGGATGAGTTCAGTTCGTCATCCCAGGGCGTTGCAGCTGGTCGGCGCATGCCGGAGGCCCCCAGTTGGAGGGCATGCGAAAGTATTGAACATCGGCTGGAAGCTGGTCTCCGAGGTACACACCTATGCAGGAGTACATACCTACGTAATGGCCTTCGGCCCATCCCGCCACCGTGCCTGGGCTGTGGGTACGAAGCCTATTGGATGTTCGTTGGGATCTCGTGGGAGGCCGCTCGTAGGCCTCTTGGAGGCAGTTCTGATGTCTCTTAAGGGCCGTTGTGGGGCCTCCTGGAGCCTTTTTTGGGCCTGTTGGGGGCCGCTTGGAAGCCTCTTGGGAGCCTCTTGGGGGCCGCTTGGGGGCCTCTTGGGAGCTTCTTGGGGGCCTCTTGGCGCCTCTCGGGCTCCTCTTGGGGCCTCCTGCGGGCCTCTTGGGACGGAAGGCTCGGCTTTTCGGTTCGTGTTCCCTCTCTTGGGCCCCTTTGGGGGCCGTCTTGGGGCTCTCTTAGGCCGTCTTGGGCGCCTGTTGGGCCGCTCTTAGGCCGTCTTGGGGCCCTCTTTGAGGCTTCTTGGGCCGTTTTGGGGTGGTCTTGGGGGCCTGGTGGGCCGTCTTGGAGCGTCGGGAAACAGAAAAGGCGACTATGCCCAAATCCGTCCAAATGGTAAGGCAAGTACATGTTTGTTCCTCTTGGGGCCCGCTTTGGAGGCCTTTTGGGCCATCTTGAGGCCATCTTGGGTGTCTTGGGTCCTACCTACTTGGACTGTGTAAGGGGGCCCCTTGGGGCTCTCTTGGCCCGTCCTGGGGGCCTCTTGGGCCCCGAAAAGTCATGCGACAAGACGCGGCGGGGCACAAGGGGCACAAGGGAAGCCCCAGAAGATTTGAGAGTTTGGGGTCCGGGCCCCGAATAGACTCCTCAGGACTGACGACTAAGGCTCAGAGGACTAGGCAAAGGACCTGAGAACACGCCCACTCCGTGCCCAGAGGCACGGTGGCGGATCTCTCTCTCTCTCTCTCTCTCTCTCTCTCTATATATATATATGTACACACAGGCATAGAAATACATTAAAGAGAGAGAGAGAGAGAGTGAGAGACGTACTCCTGTATGCTTATCTGCGCTGCCACGCATGACCGCCACCGCGCTTAGGGAAGGTGCGCAACGACGCCGAATTTTTGGGGCTGGCACTTCCTGGGTGCATCCGGGTGCCTCGGGATGGTTTAGCGGACGTCGCAGAGCAATGGTGGGGAAGTTCGACTCACAGCGGACAGTTTGGCAGTCAAGGCAACGATGGTGTTGATCTCTACGCGAAGTGCTTTTCCTCGGGCGTTGGCTCAGTTCATAAAAGAATGAAGCGGCGTCACTCCGGACTGAGAGAACATACAATACGCGAATCTCAGAATCGGACGCTTGCCAAACCAATCAAATAGCAGATGCGCAACTGGACGAACCGAGATAAGAATAGCCCTTCTGCGTCCAGATGTTGACATATTTCCAGCGCCATCATCTCACAGTCAATTACGCCCAGCATCTGCAGTTTCGTGTTTGAAATGGACGATTCCGAAACCAGAGCAAGCGATCATGTCGTGGCCTGGGTTATGGACAGTTCTTGGTTTCTTTCGGAAGGTCTCTCGGAGTCCTGCTTGGGGCAGTTTGGCGGCCTCGTGGAAGCCTCTTGGTGGCTTCCCAGGGTCCTCTTGGGGGCCTCTGGAGGCCTCTTGGGCGCCGCCTGGCGGCCTGCGGGCGCTCTCGGAAGCATGTCCGTGTGGAAGGCTCCCAGGGCTCCATTCGAGTTCTCCGTCTTCTGCCCCTCTTGGGGGTCTCTTAGGGGCCCTTTGGTGGCGCAGAGGGCTTTCTTGGACGGTCCTTGGGGGCCTCATAGGCCGTGCTGGACGCTCTCACGACAGTGCATAAGGTCCGCATGCGAAAATCATGCGTTGTCCAATCGCAATACGCAGCATAGTTACATGGTTTGGGTTTCTCGGGACGGCCCAGAGGGCCTCCAAGACGTCCCATGACGCTCCCGAGGTAGCGCCAGGACGGTCCCTCGCGGCCATCCGAGGACCTAGGACACGTGGGCAGTGTGGACTGCCAACCACGGTTCCGACGCTTATGTTAGGTCACCGGGGAAGCTCCAGCAGCGACCGGGAGCGCTCAGGAATTTTGGTTGTGGGGCTCTGTCACAAACGAGAATCAATGTGTAAGCCAATGTTTGGCGTGGACCCCGAAAAGTAAGTTCTTGCACATTGGGTGTGCAAATTGTGTGGAACAATCTACGTAGTGCAAGCTAGGGCTGCTGTAAGCAATGTGGTGCAAGCTCCGCGTGGTGCGAGCTGTGTGGTGTAAGCAATGCGGTGCTGGCATTGTGTTGTATAAGCTATGTGCTATGTGGTGCAGGCTGTGCTCTGTAACCTACGCGGTGCGAGCTGCTTAATGCGAGCTATGCCATGCAAGCCGCACGGGGCGCACACGAGGCGCCCACGGCCACCCACCAGGCGAAACCTCGGCAGACCCAGCCTACGCACTGGGCGCTCACGAGGCACGGCTGCCCGCCAGGCGAAACTTCCGCCTTCACGGCGCCTACGGCCGTCCACCAGACGAAGCTTCGGCAGACCCAGGCAGCGCATGGCGCGCCCGCGAGGTGCCCACGGCCGCCCACCAGGCGAAACTTGGGCAGATCCATCCACTTGCTCATAGACGCAAGTAAAGACGCAAGTAAAGACCTCACAGTGCAAGCATAGTTTGCGGGAGTTGGAAACTCACAGGGGCTTGCGGACATTCCACTCAGTGCCTCACGGCACGGTGGTGGACTCCCCTGCCGCCAGAAGCAGAGTATGAAATGAGTGCGGGAATGCCCAGTGGTAAGGAAATCAATGAGTTTGATTTGTTCGGGCTCCATTGGGTGTCTTCTTGGAGCCTTGGGCCGCCTTGGGGGCCGTCTGCAGGCCATCTGGGGCCGTCTTGGGGCGATCGCGCGCTATCTTGGAGGCATATTGGCACTGGTCTTGGTGGCTTGCCTCGTGCGTCCAAACTTGCGAGGTTCATTGTTATTAGATTTGGACGCACAGCTCCAACTAGTTTACTTCATAAGAGTGAATGTGTCCAGCGCTCCCTTTGCCTGTGTGAGGCTGACCTCGGCGATTCCAACTACGACGAGTTCAGCGGTTATTCTGGGTCGCTATTTTCGAATATGGAATACGACGAGGAGGACAAGGAGGCCGACGTCGTCTATGACCGCGTCGACGTGAAAATGGACGACCGTCGACGCAAGCAGCGCGAGAAGAAGATGCGCGAGCAGATCAGGGAGCTCCGCGCGGAGAAGCCCACAATCCAGCAGCAGTTTGCCGACCTCAAGCGCGAGCTGGCGACGGTCAGCAACGAGGAGTGGGAGGGCATCCCAGAGGCGCAGGAGCACCTGAAGGTGAAGGGGCGCAAGGCCACGAGCTTCACCCCAACGCCAGACGCGCTGCTGGCGGGCATGATGGGAGGTGGCAACAGGGCGGTCGGCGGCGCTGCCACACCGCTGGGCGGCGCCGGCACTCCGCTGGGCGGGGGCTTCGGCACGCCGATGGGCCTGCGGACCCCGATGGGTCTGCGCACGCCGACAGGCCTGCGTACCCCAATGGGCCTGCGTACCCCGATGGGCCTGCGCACCCCGCATGGGGCTGGCACGCCGATGGGCATGCACACGCCGATGAGCGGTATGCACACGCCGATGGGCATGCACACGCCGATGAGCGGAATGCACACTCCAATGGGCATGGCCACGCCGATGGGCATGCGGACACCGATGGGCATGGCGACGCCGATGGGAATGCACACACCCATGGGCATGCACACGCCGATGGGGATGCGGACGCCAGGCATGCGCACCCCAGGTCTTCGGACGCCGGGCACGCCACACACGCCCCACGGCGGGGGAGGCTCGCTCAACGACCTGGGGGAGGCGCGAGGCACTGTGCTTGCGGTGAAGCTCGACAGAATCATGGACAGCGTGACAGGTCAGACCGTCATGGACCCGAAGGGTTACCTGACAGATCTGAACGCACTGCAGGTGCAGTCCGACGCGGACATCAGCGACATCAAGAAGGCGCGCACGCTGCTGAAGAGCGTGATCACCTCCAACCCGAAGCACGGCCCCGGTTGGATTGCTGCGGCCCGCCTGGAGGAGGTTGCCGGCAAGGTGCAGTCCGCCCGCCAGCTCATCGCCCAGGGTTGCAAGCATTGCCCTAACAATGAGGACGTTTGGCTCGAGGCCGCTCGGCTGGAGAAGCCTCAGAACGCGAAGGCGGTGGTCGCGAAGGCGGTAAAGTCCTTGCCACACAGCGTGCGCCTCTGGATCGACGCGGCGAACCGTGAGCAGGACGTGCAGGCGAAGGCCCGGGTGTTGCGGAAGGCCCTGGAGTTCATCCCGAATTCTGTCCGACTGTGGAAGGAGGCCGTCAGCTTGGAGGACGAGGTCGAGGCCCGCGTGATGCTCGCGCGAGCCGTGGAGTGCGTGCCCCACAGTGTAGAGATGTGGTTGGCTTTGGCGAAGCTCTCCTCCTACAAGGAGGCGCAGCGGGTGCTCAACGAGGCTCGCAAGCACATCCCTACCAGCCCCGTCATCTGGGTCACGGCGGCGAAGCTTGAGGAGACCCAGGGCAACGAGAAAATGGTCGAGCTCATCCTCACACGCGCTATCGACTCGCTCGCAGCGAACGGCGTCACGCCAGACCGTGACATGTGGCTGAAGCAGGCCGAGGAGGCGGAGAAGACTGGGTTCATCAAGACGTGCCAGGCCATCGTGAAGGTCACTATCAAAGTCGGAGTGGATGAGGATGTCAAGGGCATGAAGCAGAATTGGATCCAGGACGCCGACGCGGCCATCAACAGAAATTCCATCGAGGTGTCGCGTGCCATGTACAACAACGCGGTCATGCACCTGAAGAACAAGAAGGGCCTCTGGTTGCGGCTTGCGGAGCTGGAGACGAAGTACGGCACCTCGGAGTCTCTCGACAACGTGTTGCAGCGCGCGGTCACTTATTGCCCGCACGCCGAGATCTTGTGGCTCATGGCGGCTAAGCAGAAGTGGCTTCGCGGAGATGTCGCGTCGGCCCGCCGCATCCTCGCCGAGGCATTCAGCCACTCCAAGGATTCGGAGGCAATCCACTTGGCCGCCGTGAAGCTGGAGAGCGAGAACAACGAGATTCAGCGTAGCCGCCTGCTTCTTGCGAGGGCTCGGCAGCAGTGCAATACGCCGAAGGTGTGGATGCAGTCCGTGCAGCTGGAAAGGGAGCAGGGCCTCTTCCAGCAGGCGCTCCATCTTTGCGAGGAAGGCCTTCGGGAGCACCCCTCCTACGCGAAGATGTGGATGATCGGAGGGCAGATCCACATGGAGAAGTCGCCGCCCGAGCTGCTAGAGGCCGCCAAGTTCTTCGAGCGAGGGCTCACCAAGTGCCCGCGCAGCGTGCCGCTCTGGCTCTGCGGGGTGGAGTGCGAAGTGCGGCAGCAGAAGTACACGAAGGCTCGCTCTTTGCTGGAGAAGGCGCGCCTGAGAAACCCTGGTGCCGACCTGCTCTGGCTCAAGGGGGTCGAGGTCGAGATGATGGACGGCAGCGAGAGGCTGGCGCACCATCTCATGAGCCGCGCTCTCCAGGAGTGCCCTACAAGTGGTATCATGTGGGCGAAGGCCGTGGAGCTCGAGCCAAAGCAGGGGCAGAATGCCAAGAGCGTGGACGCTCTCAAGAAGTGCGAGAACGACGCGCACGTGATCGTCTCGGTGGCGAAGCTCTTCTGGAGGGACGGGAAGAACGCGAAGGCCAGGAAGTGGTTCAACCGTGCAGTAACGTTGAACCCGCGCTTGGGCGACGCCTGGGGTGCGTATCTGGCCTTCGAGCTGGAGCATGGCACCGCGCACGAGCAGCGGGAGGTGATCCGCAAGTGCGTGGATGCGGAGCCCAATCAGGCTCCAGGGCGAGGGTGGGAAGGGAGACGGACAATGGAAATGAGACATGGGAGGAGGGCAAGTCAGGCGCACATGACGTCTGACGTCCCAACTTTACCGTGTCTACCTTCCCATCGCGCCGCTTCATTGTATTTTCTATTTGCCAAGTGCGATGCAGAATCAAGTTGGGTTATCAGGATTGAAGTTGCATGCTCTGCGTTTGGGTCCGTCGTCCGTTGCGCAAGGGGCAAGAGAAGCGAGATGGGGTTTGAAAATTTGCAGCAGGGTTGGGCGAAATTGGAATGGAGAGAGGACTCGATCTGTCGAACAATGCCACGCACGGGACTCGCAAATTGATATCGGGGCTCAGAGATTCTTTGGGGGGGTGGCAGGCAGGGGAGGGAGAGGAGGAGGAGCACGAGAAGGACGAGAATATGGGCAACGACAACGACCAGGGCGAGAACGAGGACGAGTTGGAGGACGACGACGAGGACAAGGACGATGAGGAGAGGGGAGGAGAAGGCGGAGGAGAGGATCAGACCGAGGAGAAGTACGACGAGGAGGACGAGGACGACGAAGAGGAGGAGGAGGAGGAGGAGGAGGAGGAGGAGGAGGAAGACTCGGAGAAGATGGCGAAACCGTATTGCGATGACCACGTTGCGCCCAGAAGGTAGCAAGCCACACGGCAGACACTTGTCACCGTCATAATCGGCACCTGGAAGACAAACCACCTCATGCACCGCCATGAGATGGAGCGTACGAGTTATAACGCAAGCGCGGTCACACAAGCTCGAGCACACTGAGCTTGCGTTATATACAGCAGCGCGGCCAAGACGCCATCACGCCAACAACAACGACCGCCGCACGAAAGACCTCGTGCTGGTGGGCGCAGACAAAGTCCACCTCGGCCACCCACACCAGGTGCAGAGGGTTCAGCTGGGCAATCCCCATCACATTGCACGCCACTCCTGCAACACGAGGGCTACTCGATGAGTGCATGTCCGTCCGATGCGCACTGGTCCACCAGCTTTACTTAAACTCCAAGTGGGCGAACTGCATCAATAACGGCAGGGAACAACGACAGTTGAGTGAGCCAAGTGTGCGACCAACAATTGTTGAAATGTGTATGCCACCAGCCGCAACAGATGAGAGCGCAGATCGACCGCGTGTGGGCCAGCTTCTCGGCTTGTGGAATGGGTCATCTCATACATAGTTTGAATGAGAGCGAAACTTGAGCAATCTACAGAGCATCATTATGCTGACAGCAATCGGGAACACACAGTACATTCGCTACGACTTTGGCGCGGTCTTCGATGTGGAGGGGGTACGGGACAACAATTCTAATTGTTTGACGTGAATGTTGTCCACGTGGCCCGTCTCAGTTCGCCACGGCATTGGGACCATCGCGTGCGAGAAACGCGTTCGGTAGCGGCGGAATTTGGTGCTGCTTGGCGAGGCGTGTGATGTGAGGTTGTAGCCCGACATCTTCAGCGGCAGCGCTGGGATCAGCGCGTGCGACAAGGACGAGCTGTAGAGGTAGATGGTTGTTTTTGGCAGCCAGATGTGGTAACGAACTTTGAGCCCGACGATATCGGCTACACCGCTGATATCCCATCGTGCAGAAAGTGAAATAATGGCAGCGAGATGTGGACTGCGCATTTATCTAGGCCCGGGGATTGTGGTGGACCTCGTCGTTTTCATATGGTTTTTATCGAGTGAACCGCTCCTCCGCCTTTCTTTTTTGAATGAATGCTTGCCGTTTTTTCTTTGTTGCGTTATCCTTTCCTTTTCTTCCTTTCTTTCGTTCGTTTTCTCTTCATCTACTCCACTCTCTTCGTCTCTCTCTCTCTCTCTCTCTCTCTCCGTCTCTCTTTCTCTATCCTTCTGGTTTCGACAGCCTTCAAGCAATCATCGCCCCCCCGAGCATGGTCTTCGAAATTCCAGCCCTGTGCCAAGCGGCATGGGGTTGGAATTTCGAGGACCATGCTCGGGGGGCTTTGTATTGTGGACCTTCGGACGTTCTGAGGTGGTTCTTTCGTTTCCAGCGTTGTCTTCCTTTTTTGTATGATCTCCCTTTTGTGTATGATGTTCCGTTCTCTCTCTGATCATCTAACCCGCTCTCTTCGCTTCTCTCTCTCTCTCTCTTCCTCTCTCTCTCTTTCCTCTTTCGTTTTTGTTTCGTTATGCTCTCGGATTCCCCTCTCTCTTTCTCTATCACGCTCTCTCTTTCTTTCTCTAGCTTCGATCCTCTCCCCTCCACTTGAGGCCGCGTGTGCATAAGGAAGGAGGAGAAGAAGCATAGGAGGAGGGGGAGGAGGAGGAGAAGGAGGACGAGGAGGAGGAGGAGGAGGGGGAGGAGGAGGAGGAGGAGGAGCGGGAGGATGGGGATGAGGATCAGATGATGGAATCGTGGAGAGGAATGCTGGATATTGCAACTTCGTCTGAGGCTCGTAATGCCGTCGGCGGATGCGGGCTGGGGGGCAATCCTTTGTGGTAGATGCCAATAAGAATCCTCTTGGGGTTTGCAATAGGAATCCTTCCTTCTGCGACGGGAGGCGTTGGAACTCGCCAGCGCAATGCCAAAGCAGTGCCACACAATGCCAGCGCAATGCCAATGCGATCCCAAATCAGATGCCAATGCAATGTCGTTGGGGGCATTTTTTTGTGGTAGATTTCAAAAGGAATCCTTTGTGCGGAGGGTTTCAATGAGAATCCGTATGCGAAGGGAGGCATTAGGACTCGCCAGCGCAATGCTAAAGCAGTGCCAACGCAATGCCAAACCAATACCAAGGCGACGCCAATCCAATGCCAATGGGGGCAATCCTTTGTGGTAGATTTCAATAGGAATCTTTGTTGTGGAGGGTTTCAATAGGAATCCTTCTGCGAAGGGAGGCATTCGGACTCGCCATCGCAACGCCAGCGCAAAGGTCAAACAGTGCCAACGCAATGCCAAATCAATGCCAATGCGACCCGAATCCGCTTTGGGGGTAGTCCTTGTGTGGTGAATTTCAATGAGAATCCTTATTCCGGGGGGTGCAACAGGAATCCTTCTGCGAAGGGAGGCATTAGGAATCGCAAGCGCAATGCCAGCGCACTTCCAACGCAATGCCAGCACAATGTTAAACCAATGCCAATTGGGGGCATCCACTCCTGGTGTATTTCAATGGGGGTCCGTCTGGGATGATGCCATTGCGAACCCATGTTCGGAGAATTGCAAAAGGAATCCGTTCATGAAGGGCTTCGAATGCAATCCTTCTGTGGAGAATTCCAAACTGAATCCTTCTTGTGTTTGTGTTTGTCGGGGTGAATGGGGGCAATCCGCTGCGCTAGATTTCAAGACGAATCATTTTGTTGTGGAGGGTTTCAATAGAAATCCTTCTGCGAAGGGAGTTATTTGGACTCGCCAGCGCAATGCCAAAGCAATGCCAAAGCAGTGCCAACGCAGTTCCAGCGCAATGCCAAGGCGATCCCAACCCAATGCCAATGCAATGCCAATTGGGGATATCCTCCGTGGTAGATTTCAGTAGGAATCTTTCAGTGGAGGGCTTCGCATGGAGTCTTTCTGTGGAGGATTTCGATATAAACCCTTTTGTGGAGGGTTCCGATCGGATTATGTGGAATGTTTCCAATGGACCATTCCTCTTGAAATCCTTTTGTGGAAGGTTCCTTGAAATCCTTCTTGTGGAAGGTTTTCAATGGGAATCCTTGTGTGGAGGGTTCCATCAGGATTCGCCAACGCAGTGCTTGCGAAGTGCCAGCGCAATGCCCACGCACTGCAAAGCACAATTCCAGCACAATGCCAAACCATTGCCGAACCAATGCCAATGCAATGCCAACAGGGGGATTTGTCCTTCGAGTCATCTGAACAGCAATCCTTCTGCAGGTGATCCCAAAAGGAGCCAATATGAAAGGATATCAATAGCAATCCTTATGTGGAGGGTTTCGATCGGAGTCCTCCTGTGGATGATTTCGCTATGAACCCTTATTGTGGGGACATTTTGAATGCCTGGAGCCAACTGTAGGCCACTTCGTGTTCTTCGTGTTCCCAGAACACCTATCCCAGGCCACATTTTGAATGCCCGGAGCCAACTGTAGGCCACTTCGTGTTCTTCGTGTTCCCAGAACACCATTCCCAGGCCCATTTTGAATGCCCGGAGTTCTTCGTGTTCCCAGAACACCATTCCCAGGCCACATTTTGAATGCCCGGAGCCAACTGTAGGCCATTTCGTGTTCTTCGTGTTCCCAGAACACCATTCCTGTACCATATTTTGATTGCCCGGAGCCAATTGTCGGCAATTTCGTGATCTTCGTGCCCCCAGAACACCAGTCCTGTGCCATATTTTGAATGCCCGAGCTGAGGCAGGCTGAGGCCGAGGCAGGCTGAGGCTGAGACACGCCGAGGCAGGCTGAGGCTGAGGCTGAGGCAGGCTGAGGCTGAGGCAGGCTGAGGCTGAGGCTAACGCAGGCTGAGGCCAAGGCAGGCTGAGGCTGAGGCTGAGGCAGGCTGAGGCTGAAGCAGGCTGAGACTGAGGCTAAGGCAGGCTGAGGCTGAGGCTGATGCAGGCTGAGGCTGAGAGGCTGACGCTGAGGCTGAGGCAGGCTGAGGCTGAGGCTGAGGCCGAGGCAGGCTGAGGCTGAGGCTGAGGCAAGCCGAGGCAGGCTGAGGCTGAGGCTGAAGCTGAGGCAGGCTGAGGCTAAGGCTGCGGCTGAGGCTGAGGCAAGCTGCGGCTGAGGCAGGCTGAGGCTGAGGCTGATGCAGGCTGAGGCTGAGGCTGTGGCTGAAGCTGAGGCAGGCTGAGGCTGAGGCTGAGGCTGAGGCAAGCCGAGGCAGGCTGAGGCTGAGGCTGAAGCTGAGGCAGGCTGAGGCTGTGGCTGAGGCTGAGGCAAGCTGCGGCTGAAGCAGGCTGAGGCTGAGGCTGATGCAGGCTGAGGCTGAGGCAGGCTGAGGCCGAGGCAGGCTGAGGCTGAGGCCGAGGCAAGCCGAGGCAGGCTGAGGCTGAGGCCGAGGCAAGCCGAGGCAG